ATATAAAATTCTTTCTTTCTTTCTTTCTTTCTTTCTTTCTTTCTTTCTTTCTTTCTTTCTTTCTTTCTTTCTTTGTATTGGGCCCTTGATATCTGCTGGGGTTTAGTTCCAGGACCCTCCGTGGTTACTAAAATACATAGATACTCAAATCCCTTTATATGCATTGGCCTAGTAAGATGTTATCCCTTATATAAAATGGCAAAATCAAGGTTTGCTTTTTGAAATTATATATTATTTAAAAATGTCAAGCCATGAATGGTTGAATCCATGGATAAAAAAATCCGTGGATAAGGAGGGCTGACTGTATATTTTTAATATAAAATTAATAAAACATCCCCCCCCCCCCAAAATAACAACATACCAGTAAAAGAAAGAACAGCAGCCCAGTTAAAAAACCCTTCCATAGGAACCCACCTTAATTGCCAAAGGCCTGCCTGAGTTTTTTAAAAAAGGATTTCAATTGTTAGTGATCTTGAAGCAGTTGATATTATTTGCTTAGGTTTTGTTTTTGTTTGTTTTTTCATTTAAAAAACAGCTGCCCCAAGGTTTCCCACCGACGGCTGGTCTTCCTTCCCATCTCTTCCCACTTGCACTGTCAGTGCACTTCACTGCTCTGTGATAAAAATGTTAAGCTATGTGGTGGCTTTGTCATGTCCAATATGCAGCATGAGGGAGATGGAGACCGCTGCACTGTTCTTAAATCGCCTCTTTTGCAAGATGCCCCTGAGCTCTCCAGATGATAAGACGGTATCTGCGCTGAAACGTCTGCACTGTATGCCAGAGACACTGAGGTGAAAAGTATGTGTCTGCTCTTCACTTTGCCACCTGACTCCTTCTCTCCCCTCCAGCTGTGAAATTTTACATGGACTTCCTGCATGACAGCACAATATGTTGTTGTCAGGCCAGATGCTGCAATCCTGTTTTATTCCTAATTGATGACCTAAAAGGTTTTGCCTCAACTTGATAGGTGGACTCTTCAGGTTACGTTGTCTAAACACATTGAAGCAGCCTCACATAGAAATCAAAACACTGTCGCACACTTGTCTTATGGTTGTTGGGTTTTTTTTTTTTAAAAATAATTTAAAAAGAAGTATATAAAAGTTTAATGGGTGACTTCAGCTGTCTTGTATAGACTACAGACTATGAATGTTTTTGCTGTTTGTCCCAGCTGACATTTAATGGATATTTTTAGAAAGATCACTGTCCTCGTCGTCCTTATTTTGAACTCTTTTTGTTTTTTCCCTAATGAAAAATCAATATCTGCCAAGGAAAAATAGTCAAGATTACTATAAGCAGTTAATAATATGGGAATCTTATGCTACTTGTACAAAGTGGTGTTGAGACCATTTCATTTCCAGGAAATATATGTTTTTTAACTTGGACTGTCAATGTTTGTACAGTTGTATTTTTTTTTTTTATTATAGGATATTTTAAAATATATATGATGATTATGAATTTTATTTTAACCAAGGAAATGATCCCTGGGGTAAATTCTGGAAGTGTAGTCATGTTAATCTTACTAGCTCAATTGACCTACTCCCTGGGTCCATGCCATCAGGGTTTCATGGGGCTGTCCATTACTCTTTCTCCTTTTTAAACCATAGTAATCTTACCAGCTGTACCACAGAGAAGCTCTGCCATCTTCCTGCCTCTTTTTTTAACATCAGATTTCAAATTTCAGTTTCTTAGCTCTGTCCTGGTTTTCTGCATCCATTGTTGTTTTTGTGTGCCATCAAGACATTTCTGACTTATGGTGATCCTAAGGGGAACCTATCACAGGGTATTCTTGGCATGTTTCTTCAGAGAGGGACTGCCATTGCCATTGTCTGAGGCTGAGAGAGTGTGACTTGCTCAAGGTCACCCAGTGGGTTTACATGGCTGGGGTTCAAACTCTGGTCTCCAGAGTCATAGTCCAGTGCTCAAACCACTACACTATGCTGCCTCCACCCTCACCAGGAGTCTTAGCAGCATTGCCTCAGAGACTCAGCTCCTGTTTTCTTGTTGTTGTTGTTGTTGTTGTTGTTGTGTGCCTTCAAGTCATTTTTGACTCATGGCAACTCATCACTGGGGTTTCTTGACAAGATTTGTTCAGAGGGGAGGCCTGCCCTTGCTTCGTTCTGAGGCTGAGAGAGGGTGCCTTACCTAAGGTCACCCAGTGGGTTTCCATGGCTGAGTGGAGATTTGAACCCTCGTCTTCCACTGTCCTAGTCCAGAGGGACTACCACACTGGCTCTTGTTTTCTAACCCTTAAAAAAAAAATCCTGGTCAGTATTAGTAAAGCCGCCCTGTTTTGTGCCTAGGAATTTTAACTTGAAGTTGGCTATTTTAACTTGGATGACAACCAAAAATACTTTTGCTAAATTTGGAAGCATCTACCACAATATTCTTATGAGTTATGGCAGGCTTGTTGAAAGGCACTTCCCGGTTTTTATATATATATATATATATATTAGTGCATTTTTGACAACATTCATAAACAGTGACAAATTATTTATTTATTTATTTATTTATTTATTTATTTATTTATTTATTTTCTACCCCTCTGATGGGTAATTGGGGCGGCTTACAACATTAAAAATCCATACAATATAATGCGAATTACATGGATATAACCTAAGAATCCCAAAACCTACCCACCCCTTAAAAAGTACTAAACAAAATTATGTATTAAAATCTGTTAAAATAAACTCACAGGAACAACAAAGCAGACAGCAGCAGCGACTACACACAGAAGTAGGGGAGAAAGATGGGCAAATTCCTAAGTTAGGGAAGCAGCCTACTATGATTCCTGATGTGTTGTGGTTAACCCATCTTTTTTTTTTTTTTT